TCCCACAAATCCGATAAATTAGTTTAACCATTTCGAATTGAAATAAAACGTGCCAATTTTTCCGTTCGAAGCTGCTCCGGTTCAACTTTATCCATTTTCCCCCCCAAACTGCCCGATTTTCATCCTCGCAGAACTGAATCGGACTTCGAATCCAAAGCTGCATCAGTATTTTGCCCCGCTTTTCAGAGAACCAATGCCTAAACAGATTAGCATTCCTTATTTTGCAACAATGGATATCCCAAGGTTGAGGGTACAGTTCCTTCAAGGCTGAGGAAAATTTTGAAAGGGATGAAACCTTGGGTTTTGAACCTGGCTCTTCGTGGAGGATCAGCAGTTTTTCTTGCGTGTGGCTTCGGCAAACCTGTCGTCTTGCATAATCAAATTAAAAAAAGGTTATTCACGTGCAAAAATTCAATAAATAGAAATTGAATAAAACCTTTCTGAGTGCAACGATTTATAGGAAATATTACCTATACTGTATTCTGTTGAATGATTATAACTTTCGAGCTTCTTTAAAGAATTGAAGATTCCTAAATTATGAGTGAGCCAAGTTTGGTTTTTGCGTGTCATGGAATTTATATTTTATATACGCTCATGTAATTCAAATAAAATATTCTGCGACCGAGAAGCTTTTCGAGTGTGAATTCCCATTAATTTGCAAATTATTTCTGAATGTTCTTCTCATTTAAAAAAATTGTTGGTGATTTAACATTGCAAAGGGGAGTGTGTGTCAACTTCTATATTGGGATGAATCTCGAGAATATTCTGGAGTGTATTTGAGATCATAATCAAATATTTCCTTGTATAGCAGGAATCGGGCTAAATTTAATTTGAAAATGCGTCGGAAATTCGTATTGGAAATGAAAGTGCTTTTTTGCGTTTCGCTGCTGATGTCATCCGGGTTCGGTGCCAGGGTTTTCAATTCTGCTGGACAACCCATTTCCGTGCAGCAGGGGGTTCCGACTCCGACATTCGTGGACCCATCATTAAATTCGTTTCCAGCAAACTTCTCCCCACCATCACTTCAGTATCCTTTGGAAAAGTAAGGTTCTTCAAATTATTTTTTGTTTAAAAAATTACTTGAGGTCCGTTTCAGGAAATTTCAAAATTGAGTCTGTCTATGCTTCTTAGGGTGAGACATTTTTTTCAGCCATCAACCAGTTTTTGGTACAGGTTAAGAAATTTGATTTTGTTAGATTAGTCAAGTTTGTGTTTTACCTTACTGAAATCTGACTTTTCAAAGAGCTTGATTGAGATGCCCTATCTGAAGTGCTCCTACAGCTTTCCGAAAATCAGTGTGACCCCATCATGAGGAAAATGTAAGTTCCTGGCACGTCAAAACTTAGAAATATGACAAAACTTTTATATAGTGATTGAAAAGTCATGAACCCTTTCCCCAACCATATATCCTAGAAAAGCGAGCAAAGCATTATTTTCAAAAAATTTGATATCTCTGAAAATAATTGAGGTAATTCCTTGGACAGAAAGTGTCTTTTTGTAAATTGGCTATATCATCAGAATAATTCAGTTTCAATGCCTTTCTATGCTTTTAGTTTTGGTTATTGTGTACAATTAAAGTAATCCTTGAGATTTTGAGTCCTTCACTTTCTGGAATTTACAGTTTGACAAAGCAAGAAAATGAACCAAAATATATACTGCAACTTGAGAGCAATTTGAGAAGGTTCTCATCAGAGGTCACCATCAGGAAAAGGCAGTTGTATCCCATTCTTCAAATTTGAACTTTGTTAGTGTGCAATTGAATGCTTCACTTACTAGAATTTTCAATTTCTCCAGACAAGAAAACACAGCCAAAATATACAAATTCTTGGACTTAAGTACTGTAAATGCTCCACTATTTATGCCAAGTTTCCATCAATAGATGCAGGGTCTGAAAGGGGGTTCAAGGAAATAGTATCTGGCCTCTAATAGTGGCCAGGTAAACAAAAGGGGGGATTTCTGATGATTCTACTGGCCCTAATAATAATTTCCACAATAAATAAAATGCTCAACAAAGAAACCCTTTCCCTGGCTTTCACTTTTTTGTAAACATTCCTTTCTCATTTCAAAAATCATTGTTTAGTCAAAGTTTTTCTTATGTTCTCCTTTTTCTTCAAATACTTTTCCAGAGTTGCAACTGTTTGAAATAATTGCTGGTCTCTACTAGACACTGGTTTCTATTATTAGCTGGTGGGGGGTTGCAAATTTAAGATAAATTTCAGGGCAATTTTTTTTTTGGGAGCCTGTATGGTACTTTGAAAATGTCTCATCAGAGGTCATCAGCAGATGATTGCAGTTGAAATTCCTTTCTTCATGAATGAGTTTATTTTGCATCTTTTTTGCAGTGTCCAGCAGCAACCACAACAGCAGCAACTGCAGCAGCCATTTGCATTCCTCAAAAACATCTTTGGCCCTCCACCTGCTCCCAAGTTGCCAGATTTTGACTGGTCCTCTGTGACAAACGTCATGCACTCTGTGCTCAAGATCGCCATGCCGTATGTGCTCAGTGAACTGCTTCCACGCGTCATCCCGCCATTGGTTCGAATGGCTTTTGACGCTGTTAAAAATGCACAAGAGAATTTTGTCAAACAATGGCGTTTGGGCACAAAGACAAAAACAGTACCGGTTGTGAAGACCAGGGCCCAGGACTCGTCTGATGTTGACTTGGGAAAAATGGTGGATGGTGGACTGAGTTTGATTAGAGCTGCTGCGGATTTATTCCCTGCTGGTGGTGGTAATGGGAGTCATGCATCAGTAGATGGGAGGGATTTCTCTGGAGCTGCCATGAATGCCCTGGCTGGACTTCTGACTTCAGTGAGTATTATTTTTGGTACAGTTATACCTTTCTAAGCCAAATTTCAAGGGATCAGCAAAAAAAGTTGACTGAAAGAGGTTTTGACTTAGGGAAGTATCCATTTAGAGACGTTTTGAGTCAGGGAAACAAGACTTTTTGTTGTTGGAAACTTATAAGAATTGTAAGTGATGATCTTCTGGGCCTGAAATTGCTTCTCAAATGAGTTTCCAGCATGCTGAACTTGTAGGCAAGGGTTTGCTTGCCAAATGTGTCTGTAATTTATTTTCAAGACACATTAAATTTACTTGTTTTATTGCTTTTCTCTTGTGCATCTCAAAACAATAATAGCCAAATCATGCCTCAGCAATTTTGAATTACTGAGGCTTGAAAGTAAAAGCCTTTGAGTTGAGGTTTTTAATGGATCGTTTCTAAGATAATTTAGATGTCAACTTAGGCAGGCTTGACTTATTGATGGTTCATCTGTTCATCATTCATACATTGTCTTTCAATAAATACAGTGCTTAACCAAAATAATTGGTCCCAGGATAAGTTTGATGATCAAAAAAATTATTTTCCTTGATTTCCAATCGATAAATATTAATCCATTCCCATCAAACTTATTGATGCAAACATTTTGATGAATATTAATGATTGGTGCATTTCATTGCTTTATCACTTCAGGTATGAACCTGATGCATGTATAGAATTGTGGTGTTTAAAGTGAAGTAATCCTACCAACTTTACCATCTTCTCTTTTAAAATATTGCCTAAATTTGCCAAGGAGTTAAAAAACTCTAAACTTGACTTTTTGTGAGTTCAAATTATTTTTTAGAAATTATTCAAGCGTCTCTTGTTCCCCCACAAAGAACTTTTGTCATTTAAATTTTTCTTGTCCGTGTGCTTCTTTAGCTCCAATTTTCCATGCAAAAAAAAACCTGGAAGTGAGAGAATTTCATGATGCTGATTTTACGTATTTTTATCTACAGGCCTTGAATAGCAGTTGACGTCACCCTGAACTCTGAAGAAAACCGATTCTCCAGGAGGAGTCACGAGTGCTGTGGTTAATTTATTTTTCATTTTTAAATGACTGGGAATTAAAAAGTTTATACTCTGTGTCTTGTTTTGCTTCACTGAAACAGCGTTCGATGTGTATTTTTCAAGGAAAGTAATTTAACGTTTTTTTAAATAATGAGATTATCTTGCACAACCTGCTGCTCGCAGGGAAATCAACGGAAGTTTCCAAAATATGCTGTCAGATAATTGATAATATTTTCCTCTCTGAATCCAAAATTTCTGTAAAATTTTCAGAATCTAAAAGAGACTTTGATAAAGTATATGCAGTATAAGGGTTCACTTTTTCAGGTCTTGAAACTTACATTGCAGATATTCTTCAATGCACTTCTATGATCAAACCTTAACGGGAACTGGTATTTTTTTATTATTCGGAATTGTATTGAATGACCACATTCTTTGCAGAGCTGAGCTTTGTATACGGTATGTTCTGTTTATAAAAAATCGCAGAATTCGTCTGCTCGAAATATGTAGGACAAATATTTTTTCATCAGAAGTCTCACAGAACATTGTTGGTTTTCTGGCAGAGATGATCGTGAATGGAACAGTGACCATCACTTTTTCTGGAATTCTAATGAAGTAAGACTACACAAAAGTGCCAGTCAGTGTTCTGTGAAATTTTGACTTCCAAGTTCCAACAATATAATTAATAGAAATGCTTTTGAAAAAGTTCGCTCGAGTTCTGCAATTCGAAAAAGCCACAGTCCAAAATACTTTTTGAAGATTACCTTTGGGAAAGATTTTCTGAACCTTATGTTCTACCACGCAAATAATTTCCGAATTATTCAGTTTGCTAATTATTTATATAAAAATACTGTTTTGATTAGAATTCTTCAAGTACTGTACTTCCATGATTTAGCCACTGATCTTCGTCTATTTTTTCTTGACTAATGCTGAACGATTATCAGATCAATACATTAAAATTGCTTTTTATTCTTTCAACTAAATTCTGAATAAGCAAAAATCTCTAGAATTAAATTGGCGTTTTCTGTAGTGCAGTCAATAGTGACTATCACAAGAGAAGGTCCTCAGGCAAAAATGGTTCATTTTTACGTATTTCTTTTATAAATTCCCGTACTTTCGGAGACCAGAAATATGATCTCAGGTTTTTCACGAACAGTTCAAGTTTGATTCAAAATTCGGATAAACGAAAAAACAACGGTGATTTTATTTGATCCCCACAAGAAGTTACTGTGTATGCACTGAACATAATCATCTCAACTATGGACTCTATTTTGGAACTGAATCGCGAATAAAAAAAAAATTTGTTATGCAAATAATTCCGTTCCGCAAGAACTGCGAACACACTATAAACAGCAGATTTTTCTGGAGACATGAAAAATTTTCGCATGCAGTATGTATATATTTAATATGTATTTATTCAAACATCAGACTCAATGTTCAATAATACATGCACTTGTTCCTGCCTGGAAAATTTGAAAAAACAAAGTCGATTTTTCTAAGCAGGCTATTCCCAAACAAAATAATCATGCACAAATTTCAATCAATAAATCAATGTCCCCAAAGAAACACAACACAAGTCATGACCAAATAATTGTGCACATGGAATCAGGATGGAGTTACATTTCAATTTCTCAGAATTTTGCGTTAAAATGCTGTTGCCCTCATGGAGCAGATTTTTAATTAGAGGCATAATAGATGTCACATAAGATGGGGTGTTTCTTTTTTTATAAATAAAAGACATTCTTGGTGGAAGGAGGGCGTAATTTATTTAGAAGTTTATCATCAGAAATATTAGAGCGAATTTTTGTTCTTACAGTGTTTATTAATAATTTGTCTTATATTCCAATAAATATACCGTGCAAAACTTCAAACAAAATGATAAAATGAAAAACACAGCAGCAGCAGGGATGATGATATAGACCTGTGTTCCCCAACCCGTGGTCTGCAAACTGATGCCAGTCAAAAGTTTTTTGCTGGTCCGCAGAAAATTTTCTCAAGCACAATAATTTTATCAAAACTATCAATGTAGAGGACATCACAGTATCTTCATCTAAAATTTTTGCCAGGCAATTACAGTTGAAATTATTTCATGAAATACAAAAGTTGGCTTTTATGCTAATAACACCAGACAAATTTTCTTCTGAGGAAAATATATATTTTAATTTTTCATTCTGAGAGAATTTTCTTCAAGCCCCCCTCTCTAATTTTTTGAAGACATTCCACAAACTATACTTGCTTCATTGGTTCTAGACTTGTTAAATTTGTTTGCAAAAAAGCAGAAACTTTTTCAATACCTCCCATGATAAAGTATTTCAAGCAAAACTTTTTGGAGTGAGCAAAAATTTCACAAAACTTTTTGCCAGTCAACAGAGAAATTTTTTTTCCATTTTCCAGTCCACAAAAAATGTTATGGAAATTTGCCAGTCAATGGGTCCAACAAGGTTGTGGAACACTGATATAGACAAGCTTGTACCGTATTTACTCAAGTACCATACACCCTTGAGTAAGGCACGCATGGGGTTTTTTCAGTTGGAAATTTTGCTAAAATCTTATCCCTGAGTAAGATGCACACCCCGAATTTTAGTGACTGTAAAACCACAAAAATTTGCAAATAAAAACAAAAAATTTGACTTCAGGCATGAATTTAACAAAAATCTGATCAATTTTCAACTTTTTCAGTACAAAAATGTTTTCTTGATACATTTGTTCCAAATTTCTCCATTATAATCAAGTATAATGCACACATAACTTCCTGAAAAATTTGTACCCATTTATGACGGGCACCCCTTTTTTTCTTCTGAAATTTGGGGGAAAAAAGGGTGCGCCTGGTACTTGATTAAATACGGTATATTGATGGATTATTTTGATGACTACTGTTCGTAATGAACCTTGGCTATGGAAACACTCCTGTTATTGGTCAAAGGCAGCATAGCCTCAGACACAACAGCATCTTCGTCAGTCTCCCAAGTCGTCGGATAATTGCCCAACGACGCGTAACTATTCCGTCTCGCAATGGCCTGTTTCACACGCTCAACATCTTCCAACGGGATAAGAGTGAATGACTTTTTCCTCTGAGCCCGATACCCCTCGGGTACACAAAGGTTCTGTTGTTGTTGTTGTTGTTGGTAGCTGGAAATCGATCCCGTCGAAATGCTGCCGGGGTCCATCAAGGCAGGCAACGGAGTGATTTCTTCTTCGATGAGCACTGCGACGTTCGGAGGCGTGATTTCGATGGTGCAAATGTCGTCGGAGTCGAGGGTCTTCCTGGGGTCCATTTCGATGGACGAGGCGTTGCTGGTGCGTCGACTGAACATGCGACTGGCACTGGTGATGAGGTTGCCAATGACGTTGCGGCGCTGGGGCTTGTGCGGCAGGAGGCGGTCCTTGTACCAGGTCACCACGAAGGACTCTTCTTGATTGGCACCCGGTTTGCATTGCCGGCCAATGAGCACAGTCATGTAGAGTTGCACATACTGTATATACATACACATGGTAATACAAATTTTCTTCTGAGGAAAATATATATTTTAATTTTTCATTCTGAGAGAATTTTCTTCAAGCCCCCCTCTCTAATTTTTTGAAGACATTCCACAAACTATACTTGCTTCATTGGTTCTAGACTTGATAAATTTGTTTGCAAAAAAGCAGAAACTTTTTCAATACCTCCCATGATAAAGTATTTCAAGCAAAACTTTTTGGAGTGAGCAAAAATTTCACAAAACTTTTTGCCAGTCAACAGAGAATTTTTTTTTCCATTTTCCAGTCCACAAAAAATGATATGGAAATTTGCCAGTCAATGGGTCCAATAAGGTTGTGGAACACTGATATAGACAAGCTTGTATACCATATTTACTCAAGTACCACGCGCCCTCAAGTAAGGCACGCACTAAAGTTTTTCAGTTGGAAATTTTGCTAAAATCTAATCCCTGAGTAAGATGCACACCCCAATTTTTAGTGACTGTAAAACCACAAAAATTTGCAAATAAAAACAAAAAAGTTGACTTCAGGCATGAATTGAACAAAAATCTGATCAATTTTCAATTTTTTCAGTACAAAAACATTTTCTTGTTACAGTTGTTCCAAATTTCTCCATTATAATCAAGTATAATGCACACATAACTTTCTGAAAAATTTGTACCCATTTATGACGGGCACCGGAAAAAAAGAAGACTTTAAACCCCCTTTTTTCCCACGCGGACCATGAACTAATTTATGCCATATAACTACCTAATAAAACTACTGATGACAAGGTAATGAACCTTGGCTATGGAAACACTCCTGTTGTTGGTCAAAGGCAGCATAGCCTCAGACACAACAGCATCTTCGTCAGTCTCCCAAGTCGTCGGATAATTGCCCAACGACGCGTAACTATTACGTCTCGCAATGGCCTGTTTCACACGCTCAACATCTTCCAAAGGGATGAGAGTGAATGACTTTTTCCTCTGAGCCCGATACCCCTCGGGCACATGAAGGCTCTGCTGTTGTTGTTGTTGTTGGTGTTGCTGGTAGCTGGAAATCGATCCCGTCGAAATGCTGCCGGGTTCCATCAGGGCAGGCAACGGAGTGATTTCTTCTTCGATGAGCACTGCGACGTTAGGAGGCGTGATTTCGATGGTGCAAATGTCGTCGGAGTCCAGGGTCTTCCTGGGGTCCATTTCGATGGACGAGGCGTTGCTGGTGCGTCGACTGAACATGCGACTGGCACTGGTGATGAGGTTGCCAATGACGTTGCGGCGCTGGGGCTTGTGACCGTCCTCCGCCAGGAACATGGTCCAGTGGTGCTTCCTGAGAAGAACTAACCGTGGGCCAAACGTAACGGCCGGTTACTCGTGTCAGTACATCTCAACGTGTATGACATATATGTATGTGTACCATTAATTTTGTTACAGTCAAACCTTGTCTTTAACCCTTGGGCGGCAAAGTCGGACTATTTTTGCGAATTTTGTTACACCTCAGGGCAGAAAATAAAAAAGGACAACAGGGATTTGAGGACAAAGTTGGGGAAAAATCTGATGTTTTTTTCTTTTTGCACAGAAAAATTTCATGGGAAAATGAAAAAAATGCTATGCTAAGCAATGGGCTTTTCTCAGATTAATCCCAACTTTGCCTCATCCCACCTTGAAGGTCTTTTCTGACCTTCAGAAAACTTGAAGTGCCACAGCATACAAAAATAATCTGATTTTGGCTGGCAATGGGAAAGAACCCTCCGCCGTCCAAGGGTTAACTGTCAGATGGTGGACTTGGGATTTTTTGGGAGGAAGGGAGGGGGGGGGTGGAGGTGCATTTAGATTTGACCAAAGGTCACTGAAATTTGCCCCCATTTTGGGAAGGTCTAATAAGGTGGGGTAAAATCTGGGTGGGCAATATCCTTTTGTTTTCAGAAATACCTGATTCAATCCTATGCTATAGGAATGCATGAAAAATGCCACCCATGCGGCAAGACATTTTTTTGAGACAAACTTTTATAATGAGCTTGGTTCAAAAATCCATTTTAGAAATTGTTGGTGCCCATTGGCACAATGTTTCACAAAAATATCCCAACTTTGCCACACAACGGTTACATTCAATTTAAATTTTAAAGGGACCAGGGAAAATCCAACATTGGGAGGTTTCAACATGTGGAGATTTTGAGTTAGTGAAACCAGCCTTTTTGTTGAGGGAAACAGAAGAATTGTTGAGGGGAATTGTAAATGGTCATATCCTGGGCCTCAAATTGCTTCTTAAATTAGTTGACCAGATGCTTAACTTGGAGGCATGGGTTTAAATTTGCCTGATCAGCCATTCACTTCTTTTTAAAACACATCATTATGGTTTTTTGCTTTTTACTTTCTTTTATCAAGAAAATAATATAAGACCTCAGAAAATTTGAGTTATGCAGGTTTGAGAGGAAAAGCTTTTCAGTTAGAAAGGTTTTTATTGCATTGTTTGTAAGGAAATTCAGACAGGGACTTGAAAAAATGTGACTTAAGAAGGTATTTGACTTATAAAAGTTCAAGTTATTGAGGTTCAACTGCAATTTCAATGCTTCTCTGAACATAATTTGTTTTCAAAATTTGATGGGAATCTCAATTCAACACATTTTCTGTTTTGAAAAGCAATACATGTTTTTCATGTGGAAAAGTTCGACAATTTTTTTTAATGGAAATCTGATAATGAAGCAAAAAACTATGCTCACAGCAATGGCAACCCATCCCATGAGCACTGCGCCAAGAGACGCAGCCAAAGCAGAGAACCTTGCAGATGAGTTGAGTGTCAGGAAAACTGGACATTTCCCTTCAAAAAACACCAGCTTTGTGATGCAAGTTCCTTTTGTGGGATAAGTTGAAGTCAGTCGATTTACTGAGCCTTTGACACGGATGGACGAGTGGAACAGACTTCCGGCCAACGTCATCAACATTAGCTCATCAATCCCCAATGTTACGCCATGCTGTGATGGAAAAGTCAAAATTGAATTCTCAGATTGTCGAGATAAATTACAGGAGTCCACATCTGAATGTCAAGCAGGTTTAATTCATTACAAATATTGTCTTTATTATGGGTTGGATGTTACTGTACTCTTCAAATTGAATCCAATGTTATTTTTGTAAATGCATCTTTATTGAAAATTCATTGCTTATTCCAAAAACACAAAGAAGCTGTATAAGTTGGTGTGACTGTCAAAGATCATAATCTATAATGAAACATGCCAATTAATCAGTATATAGGTAACTTAATTGTGCAAACAATGCATTTTTTAAAAAGGTACTATATTTTAACATCCTAAAAAGATTCTTAGCCATGTCCTGGACTGAATACATGTATACAGTATTTCATTTTCTAAGATACATTTGAATATACATTTGTTTGACAAAAAATAATTTCCCACAAAATATGGCAACACTTAGTGTGTAAATATTTGAACAACTGCATAAGTTATCCATTGATCTGTTTTAAATCTCTCATTTTGTTCCTCACACCTTGCAATAGATAAAGAGCAGATGCATAACCTTTTTTTTAGAGATTGAAGGATTAAAACAAATTCAGTACAGTCAAACCATGCACAACAGACCTCCCATGCAACAGATTTTTTGCACAATGGACTGACTCTGCTGGAGGCAGTTTTCCCTCCCACTAAATCAACAAAATCTGCATAACAGACTTTTGTTGGTTTCAAATTAATCGTAAAAAGTAAAAATTAAATTTTTTAATAATTGAATTTGCATAACAGACTTTTCACACAACAGACTAGTCTGTTACAGGATTGAAGTCCATTGTGTGGGGGGTTGACTGTATTTATAAGAAGAAGAAAACGTACCCATTGAAGAAGGTCCCTGTTCTCCTTGACTACTGCAACTACACCCAATAGGTTCACTATAACAGTAAACACAGCTAAAAATATCCCCAGTGTTGCAGTCTCTTTCCCAACAGTAATTTGCTGTCTCAAATCGTCCAATTCTTCTTCCCATTCAAAAAGTTCGTTGTGTTCCGTGTCCGGATTTATTGGCCATGTCCCTGAATTCTTCTCTGCCACAAAAATCTTCCACCAGAGGTTCACGTTGTCTTCGGATGCTTCGGCATAGTTTAACGTGTACACATTCAGGATTGCAATCACTGTGGTCCCAATCTTCAATTAAATATAAAACAAATAATGCACAAATTAAAATTTCAACGGAAAAGGTGAGAAACATCAACGAGGGAAATAATCCTTACAAACAATATGCCGCAAGTGACGGTGAGAATCCATTTTTCCTGAAGAGCAGCTTCCCACTTGCCCTTGTAAAAACGATTGAGTCTGTTTTGAAAAACGTGGTTTGCTATTCCAATTTTTTGATCACTGCTGTCGTGATGAAGAGCATGTTCTGGCCTCGAAGCAGAGGGCTCAGAATCTCTTCGACCGTAAATATACACCGGAAGCATGATTCTATATCACACTTTATATAAAATAAAACCAAAAAAACGCAGTGGATGAAATACGATATGTACATTAATAACGCGTACAATAAAGGTTCTGGGTAATAGGTGTCGCCCCCTGTGTCCACTGCAGTCTTCTCCAACATTTCCCCACCGCCAATATTACAGCATTTTCTTTGATTACAGAATTAGAAAAAAATAAGCTGGCACTTCATTGGAAATTTCTGTTTAGATAAATTGCCAAGAAAATCTTTGCTAATGGTATATTTTTTCATGATTGCTGCTTTCTGTTGAAATTCTATCCCCTTCTTGACTTGCTGTTCAAAATGCAGTCCATGAATTCAACATATTTTTTTTTATCTATAATTGACAAATTCAGCATAAAAAATGCTCAAAAAATTTCTTTTCAAGGTCGTTGGTCTGTTAACAGATTTGTACTATTGCATTTAAAAAATTTAACAAAAAAAATTCTGGAGAAGCTCAGTTTGAAATTTTATGGAACAAGAAGAATTTTTATTTGTGAAAATGCATAGAAACAGGCAAATGAACAGCAGATGATGACAACAGACACTTCAAGCAGAAAGTGCTACAAAAAACAAAAGATTTCCCCTACATTTTGGCAATTTTTCAGAAAAGAATAAATTTTCGAGGAGTTTTTTCACTGCAATGAGTTACTCATATAATTTCAAGAATATTTTTTAAACGTTATGCCTAAGAATACTATTTCATGACACATTTCTTGATTTTCATGGGCACATTCAAAGTTCTGGAACCAATTAAAATAAATCCTGCACATTTTTTCTGGGCTACAGGGAAAATCCAAATGAACTTCCTATTCTTCAAAAGAAATTCCATTGCAATTTAAGTTACAGAATAACGGAAAAATATACAGTTCCCCAACCCATGTTTGGCAGACCAGCTCTGGTCTGCAGAAGCTTTTTGTTGGTCCACAAAACATTTTCTTAAGCATAATAAATTTGAGGCACATTTTAGCCTAATGAAATAAATTATTTAAGTTTTTCATTCTGAGAAATGTTTCTTCATGCCCTTATTAATGAATTAATGCCTAATTTTTTGAAGACGTTCCCCTTGTTATATAGCTGGTTCATTTACTGGCTCTTAATTTACTTTTTTCTGCAAAGAAGCAGAAACTTTTTCAATATCTGCCAGCATACAGTATTTCAGGCAAAAATTTTTCGAGGGTGCAAAAATTTTACAAAACTTTGCCAGTTAACAGACATTTTTTTTGTAAATTTGCTGGTCCATGGGGTGAAAAAGGTTGGGGAACACTTGAGTTATACAACTGATGCCTCTCCAAAAGTGACCCAAATCTACATTGCCCCGAGAAACACTTCATAGAAACACCACCACTGTTATATAAACAATATCAAAAAACCACATACACAGCACTTATGTACATATATTCAGATCAACCATTAATTTCACCAGCAAGACGAACACACCTTAGAATCACGAAGAATCTCGTAATAAGGAATTGATAACTGAAAAAAAAAGCTTGGTTGCACTTCGATTATATATATATATATATATGTAAACACTCGTGTACAGTATAGACATATAGGGCCAAAAATGAATTCCCTGGTGCAAGAAGATTCCGGCCACATGCCGTGCAGCAAGTGAAAGAAAGACGTGTATATACTGAGCTAAGACTCAGACTGGGTCTCGAGGTTATTTGCTCCTCATTGCTTCCCGGAGGCAGATTTGAGCCAACAATCTTCCAGACGCATTCACGCGTAGGGACAGAGATGAACTGTAATCCTGGGGCCTCGCGAAAATCCCTTCATTTTTATTCATGCAATATATATATATATATATATAAATTTTTTATCTCTTCCCAGAAAACCTTGGTCTGGTTTTTGGCCCAGACGTGTCTGGAGCTAAATGGGTTATTTGCATTTTTGTCTGATTCAATTGATTGCTTTCCTTGTGCAATCCAAATATCTTCTACAAAATTTTGTGTGCAAGTAATATTTGCGATTTGTTTCCAATTTTGAAAGATATTTGAATCCTACATTTTACCAGGAAATAGCAAACGGGGGAATCATCTGAAAAAAATGAATGTCCAGTACTGTATCTACTGGTACTCTTGCAATGCAGTAAAATATTGTTATGATAAATAAATCTCAACATATCAGTTTTTAGGTCCCTGCCAAATAGCCACAATGTTATGTCAGTTTCTTTGCACATTTTGTGTGGTTCCTATAACTGTTGGTTCCCTGTGCAAGATGTTGCCACATGGACAATGGGAAATTCAAGGGCACAATCCAGGCATGTGAGAACAATATGGCAGAAATCCTGTTGCGTGGTCAATAACGGATTTGAGAAGCAAAAAAGGGCAAAGCTGGATGAAAACCCTGCACTTGAAGGGATTTGCCTGCCAGAAGAAAAAAGGAAATAGGATTTCTGATGACCAACACTGGATGCATTTTTTTACTGTCTATAAGTTGTGTGATAGGTGGGCGGTTTCTGCCATTCTTAGAGTCTCTGTATTGTAGTGTCTGTGTCCAAGCTCTTTTGCTGAATCAATTAATGTTCTGAAGGGTCTTCACTATGAGGAGGACCCAGCTGAATAATGGCTGACTGCCACGGACGGGTAAAGATTGGGAAACAGTAAAGGGTCCGGTTGTCATGTCTTTAATACGGTAAAATGAATACGGTTGCCGAAACAAAATTTCTTCGAAGTCACATAAATAAAAACTGGTAGTTATTAACTAAAACTTATTTTAACTAGTTATTCCTTTGAGCATTGCTCTCGCAATTTTCTTGCCCATTGCCTAACACATCTCTGTGCAATGGGATACAAATTATTCATGAAACAAGAAGAAAGAAGTTTTCCTAAACTAATAAAAATAGTCAGTAAAACGTAGTGTGGTGGACCATATGAGGCAGGTTAGTTTAATTTGTTTTGTTGAGCTCATTCATATTGTAAGCTGATATAATTCTTCGTTACCCATGCATGCCAAGCTAAAATATGCAAAAAATGCGGTTACAGACACAGTTTGATGAAGTGCACAATTGAAAAAAATAATCGGCAGAATTTTCGAAACTACAAAATGCTGCATATTCAGTGTACTGTATGCATATTCTGTACTTGTATTCACATTATACTTCATTGTAGAATAGGGAATGTCTATAAACAAAGATTAGCAGAACCAATAAGCTATACATGCAGTCTCAGGAAATTCAAAAGAATATAAAATTATGACAAAATAAATTTCATTTAAAAAATTCGTTGGACTCGTACGGTGAAATAAACTTGAGTAATTACGTGTACCATTTTCTGTCGGAACGAATTACCCTGCAATATATGCAACTTATTATTTCCATCACAGATTTTTCTGAGAAGCTCCATCCTTACATGATCTGAGAAAATGAGGGTGTTTTTAGGCTGCTCACTTCTCTTCCCCGTGGGGCTTCCGAAGACAGGTTCGCGTTTTCCAGTTTATTATTTCCATCACAGATTTTTCTGAGAAGCTCCATCCTTACATGATCTGAGAAAATGAGGGTGTTTTTAGGCTGCTCACTTCTCTTCCCCGTGGGGCTTCCGAAGACAGGTTCGCGTTTTCCAGTAACTTGATAGGCATGGAAATTCCATGCCCCGCAGCGGAAGCGGCGCAGTGAGGTACGCGCGTCATCTGTGCGTTATTTTATAAGCTAAATGCTCGCGTTTTATTCAACATATTTCAGATGGTGCAAGTGAACCTTGCGGAGCAACAAGAGGAGCTGGGCCGCATTGTCAGTCGTGTGACTCGTGTCTCGTGCGTCTGAAAATGGGAGTAATTTTTGCAATTTTTCTACGGTGATAACGGTGTATCCCTTTTTCAATAAGTCATTTAAAACGATGACGATCTTGAAATAAATTGAGAATAATGAATTTCATTTGACAACTTGTGTATACAGCTGCTTAGATTTTTAAAGTAATCCGCCGAAACGCAACTTGATGAAAATGTGTAATACAAAACATCGAACTTAAATGTTCGCATTTCTGCATTTTGCTGCTTATTAAGCGGGATTTTCCCTTATTTATGAATGGAAATCATCGTCCCTCATTTCCTCTATTTTGATTAAGAAGAATCTTAACTTTTAAGAATGTATATACGGTATGTATATATTTTCCTGTCAAGTTACTCGACGATGCTCGAAAACGTGTTTTTGTCCGAAACATTCGCCCTCATTGCTTATACATGGGATGGGCACAATTTTTTCCAGTCATTCACCCTGAACTCACATCAATTACCAATGCAAAGGAACACTTGT